TGGAATATGAATGCTAATGGAAGTATGAATATTTTCACAGGACAATGACATAAATGGAACTTTAACACTTTTTTAAGTGTTACAGTGATATTTCGTTGGCCTCCGTATTAGCGCATTGCGCCGAACGCGGATAGCATGATGTAGTCGCAAGGGAGCAATTGATTCGAATAGTATCAAATATTCAATATCAATAATCAATATATGCCGCAAATAATTCCCTCCTCTGTCACTTGCAAGTCTTCCGTGCAGTCTTCAAAACTTCATAAAGGTTTCATAAGTTTGTCACCGAAATTTTGATTACCGGTGGTATACGATAGACGTGTGTAATAATTTGCAGTAGTCCTTTGCCGGATTCGATCTGTTGTTATTGCATGTGGATTACGGGACAATGAACGGTACTGAAATGGCTTGCGTCAGTAACCATTTGAAACGTGATCCTTTATCGCTGTTGGTCGTACAACTCGCGAGCTCGGTCGAATGTTGCTCGTGCAACTGTCGAATTGGGACTGACGCTTGTGCATGTTCCCGTGAAGAAATTAGATAATAACCCCAGCACCCATGGCAGTTTCTGCAGATACTACTACAGCCCAAGTTTAAAAGACGTAGGCAGTAGTTAGTTTCTGCAGTAAGCCAGAGACCCCGTGTGGTGAAATCGTGGGGTCATAGAACCCCCGGTGGTGGCGTCAGGGACTCGTGTGACGAGACGGTGGGGTTATAGAACCCCCGGTGTCGGCGTCACGGGCCCCCCCCCCCGACGAGGGAGTGGGGTCATGGAGCCCCACGGGTGGCGCCAGGGACTCCGTGTGGTGAGAACGTGGGGTCACAGAACCCCCGCAGGTGGCGCCTGAGACCCGTGTTGCAGGAGCGTGGGGTCATAGAACCCCCGGGGCACGCGCAAGAGACTCCGTGTGTGAGGTTGGCAGTAGAGTGAGGGCAATACGTCTATAATTTTGTACATAATTTGTCAAATTCGCAGTTTCCCCGCGCTTTTTCAAATTCAAATTCTGCGCCAAATACAACTAAATTTAGTCTCCTCTTACAAAATCAGAGAACATTAAAATTGATGTAACTCAATCAGTGGATAAACAACCGTTTAATGGATTCGTGTACAAATTTTTGCAGCACATCAGGAAGATTAAAAGAACAATCTCACAAATTTTGTTTGACTTCGTACCATTTTGAAGACAGGTCCGATATATTCTCAAATCAAGAGTAACACCGGGGACCAGTGGCTGCGAATCTGCCGTCCTGTAGATTCTGAAGAAAACGAGTAAAATTCTAGAGAGCGGAGTAGCGTAAAATATTGTAACGTTTAATGAAATTAACGATCAAAAGCAACGCAAACATGTTATTATTATTTCAGTTCTGTTATTTCTTAAGAATTGCAATACTTTAATGCTGGTATAAATGTCCGGTACTCTGATAGAAATTTTCTGGTCACTGCAGGATAATTCTCATGGACGCATACGGAGGAGGATAGGATAGGAATAAATGCGTTCAGAGAAAATTCATATTTTCAACAATTTACTCCTAGGCTCTCATTTTGGCCAGATTGAGACCGACAAATACTCTCCGGTCCCTTTTTGTTATACAATACATAAAAATAATGGTATTTACAAATGTAGGATAACGTTAGGCACTCAATGAACAAAACGGTGAAATTATAAATGGTTTTCCTATTATACATATTGGAGATGTTATGACGTATTATAATTATCGAAGAATGCACTCAGAGAGCAGAGTGAGATACAAGTACAAGGATACCAATACTTAGCGTAGCGCTGATTCAGTTGAATGTAAGAAAACAAAATGTTTCAACAAATCGAATTTCATTCGCATTCAATTGTTTTTTTTTTCTTCTTTTTTTGCGATTCGATTACGGTTCGATCAAGTGGAATGTTGGAGGTCGATAACAAGCATATTTTCACGTGGAATGTGCTCGCGCGATGTCTCACGTTTTTCATTAAATTAAGTCGCTTTACCTATACTGTATAAGTACCTCACTGCTGTTGTTACATTAATTTTTTCTTGTATTCACTGGCCTTTGCGTTCATTATTCTGAACAGTGGACATCGAAAGGAAGGATCGATCACCTGTCTGATCTCGCGGAATCAGATGTGTGAGTTTCCCCGTATTCTACGAATGTCCGTAGACTAGAGTTATCTCTATCTCGAAATATTCTTTAAGTTAAAAATAATCGTTCTAGTTCTACAGTTTCGATTCATTTCTTCTCATATCCCGATTGATCGTGATCGCGCAGCCTGTGGTGCGTTGTAAAATGTACTTCGAAATTTGCATCGACACAGAGCTCGCGTCTACACCATCGTTTATGACGCAAAATTAAACAGAGAACAGAAAAAAAAAAAAAACAAAACAGGAAAGAAAAAGTCACAGTCTATACATCGTATGTAACTTTTCGATTATCACTGAACCGATTCGGTAAATGTTGATCTTTCGTCCCTCTCTTTCGTATCGGTTAATATTAATGTTCGACTCATATACAAATTGCGACGTATCAGTGTTCCAAGTTTACCTGACACAAAGTCCACATTACGCTGAATAAAATAAGTTACACGATTTGTCTATTTTTCATTAAAATATTATGATACAAATTACAATTATTTATAGTTGAGGGTCTAAGAGCCGTTAGTTGAAACTATAAAATCTTTATTAGCCACTTCTGTAGACAACTAAGAAGTGTATACATATATTTAGTATAATTTGTTTGTTTTTGTTTTGTTTGTTTGTTTCTTTGTTTGTACAATCAATCTTACACGTGTTCTCATACTGCTGATATGGCTTTGCCCCGATACAACGATTTTTTAAATAGTTCCGGTTTCCACGACAATAAGAAGACGAGTTTTTCGTTCCCGGTGACACTCTTTGGTCGTCACTTACGATTGCTGTTAAATTGCTGTATGTCTCTTGGTGTTTCGCCGCGTAACGAGTATATATGTCTAGTCGCAAAAACAATTACGAAAGGCTGTTGTACGTTTGGTCGATGAAATGGAAAGAAAAGAAAAGAAGAGTTTATTCCCTCGCAAATTGGTACCTGTTGTGCTAACGACCCTTAACCCTTTGATAATATCACAGATGAATGAGTTTCCGTGTTGTGCGTTACGCGTTGCTACCTAAGGTTCCTAACAAGTGCGTTGATCCTTTCAATTTTCTCGCTGAGCACGCGCCTCTCCGAGTCAAGAGCCGTTCTGGCGGACAAAAGTTCGTATATCCTTCGTTCCAGCTGAATCGTTTCGGAACGCAAGTTGTTCGATTGCGCCACCAATCTCGATGTCTCGCACGTCAAGATTTTCTTCTCCAATGCTTTCTCTGAAACACGAAACGGGACAAAACTCTGTAAAGAAAAACGACCACTTCTCGACGGTGCATACCAGATACGGTCAGAAAGACCGCGAAACGCGATTGGTTACCTCTGGAATACTCTCTGTACCCGATCAGGATGTCCTCGAGTCCGGTCCACTTGGCTCGTTGTTCCTTCTTCCCGCCGATACCTTCGTCAGCGTTCTCATCCACGATTTTCATGTCCACGACCTTGCAGTGTTGTTTCACGCCATTTTCACCGGGCATAGGCAATGCAGGATAACACATCGGGATTATGTTCGGAACCAAAGGCGGTAGAGGGGGTGGCCGTTCAGGAACGTGCTTCACTTTCACTCTGTCCAATAACCGCATCTTCTGCGGCGGTTTTGGTAACGTAGGCGGATTATTCGAATAAGCCTTCGCGATTTTCTCGCAGTAAGCGGTCACGGAATTCGTGCTCTTCCGTTTTTTACGGTCCTGAAGAACGTACTGCCACGCTACCTCTGCCTCTGTAATTAAAAATTCATTCGAGGATTCGTTCACTTAAAACAAAAATTATTACTTACCGTCTCTTCTGTTAGGCGGCATCAAATCGAGTCCTATGGTCCTGAGGAAGCCGACTTTCGGCTCAAAGTCTGGCGCGTGAAGTAACACGTCCGGATGTTCGCGCGGTACCGGTAATATAGATTCGACGTTTTGTTCCGTTTCCAGAGGTACTTCCGGTGGATCAGGATTCAATCGATACCTCTTCTCCACCTTGCATAGTTCTATCTCTGCGGTATACAAAACCAATACCGAGCACATTAAACGGAAATTCCCACGAATCGAGCGTACGTGTTTTTAATGGGAACAAGAATTCTTACCGTTTCGCACGCTTAGTGTGGTCAAGCCAAACATCGCCAGAAAGGCCAATTTCTTCTCGGAATACTGTAACTTGGCCGGTGGACCTTTGGTGATCCACAGATCCATGTCCTTGATATCATCCTCGCCCTCCGAATCGGAACTGCACACGAGACCGACGTTCTTCTCCCGTTTTCGTTTCCTTCTTCTCTCGGCCAGATCCAAGGTGGAGGTCAGCTCTTTCGGGTTCTCAGGTACTAGAAACGACGACCTGTCGTTCGTTGCGTCCTGTTTGACTAGAGCCTTGCTCGGGTCAGGCACGTTCAACACCGCCGGTTCGCACTTCACGGAAATCTCAGTCAAATTATTGCACTTGTCGGTGAAACAAAATGCGGCGGTTTTCAGCTCGTTCGAGAAATTCAACAGTTTCTCCTGGTATTTCGGTATCTGCAGCAGAACGTTCGATACGTTCTGACAGGTACGCAAAACTTCCTCCGACTTGATGCTCTGCATCAGCTGAGTGGTGTCTATAGGCTTCTGCGGGGCGATGTCGTTTATACTGAACTTAAAACTCGGCTGAAACGATAATGTGGACAAAACGTTATTCTGTTCGGTCTGCATCTTAGAATCTAATATCTCGGGCTTGCCATCTTTCTCGGTGAGATTGAAGTTCAGAGGCTGAAAGATGGCCGGGCCCTTGGCTTGGTCGTACGGCGAGTGTTGAGATAACGATTTCTCTGAAATCGAATTCTTCCCTACATGATTTTGTTGTTGGCTCGCCGTTGTTGCTGTTGTTGGCTGCTTCGCGTGATTCTCGATCTTTTCGTTAGACGAATTCAATTTACCGTCCTTGGTCACGTTCGTGTCCCCGGTATTTTTCGGATGCGAATTCACGTGATTCGAAATCTTGTTCGCATTCCCGGGGACTAGACTGTTACCGTTGTAATTTACGTTTCCGGCTGTTTTCTCGCTGGAAACGCAATTCACCGCGTTTAACGCGGTATTATCGGATCGTGGGGCCGCAACCGTCGTCGTTTGATCGCTGGCATGATGGTGAGGGCTCTGCTGTTTCGTACAATTCGAACTGGTAACGTTCGTACCGCCACCGCTGCTGGTTAACGTTGGAACGTTGATTTTGCTTTGCGGATGATGCTGAAGCGGTGGCGTCGACGAGAAGTGCGCAGGTTTATACAGACCAGGTACATGAGCAACAGGTATATGCGGATGATGGAACTGCTGCGGCGGATATGGGATCGGCTGTGACAGCGATTGCTGAAGATTCACGTTCTTCCCGGTGTCCACGATACAATTGTCAGGCACTATCTGACCAACGATCGTTTGCGACGTCGTCGTCGTTGTTGTGGTGGTCGTTGCGGTGGTCGTCGTTGTTACGGACGACTTTATAGAGGACTCTGGATGGACGAGTTGATTCGTTATACTGTGATTGTGGGCATTCACGATCGGTCTCTGTTGAGGCTTCGACGAGGAACGAAAAGAATCCTCGAACGGACGGACGAACATCGGTTGCGGGGTCGCCGACCTTGTGCTAGCTGCGACAACGGTGGTCATGGTTGTGGTCGTGGTCGAGGGGCTGGTCGTCGTCGTCGTCGTGCTCGTCACGATCGTGGACGCATCCTTGTTTCTCGGTGTATGGACACCGTGTGACAGTGGCGGTGATTTATGGGTCAGAGATATATGGTTGACGTTGGTTCCGATGGTCGATGGTACGATGTTCGGTGTTGCCAATGTGTATGTAGCGTGGGTGGTTATTGTGCCGCTGTTCGATAAAGAATTGGTCATAGTTGTACCATTCGAGCCACCGCCGCCGTTACGTTGTTGATGCTGTTGCGACAGTGGCAACGGTGCTTGTGCTTGCTGGTGTTGTTGTTGTTGCTGCTGCTGCTGCTGCTGCTGCTGCTGCTGTGGTTGTTGTTGCTGATGGTATATAGAGGTTGTAACGGTAGTTGTCGCGCTGCTCATTATCGTAGCTGTATGCTGACTAGAATGAATGGTAGTCGAGGGTACTGGGGGTAAATGGAGAGAGGGTATAGAAATGATAGGCGCCAGAGGCATACTTAAGGGTGGAGGTGGCGGAGGCGGCCCTATTACGGCCGGCGTTAAGGATGACATAGAGGCTATAGAGGGTATAGGCGGTGGACCGATAGGCGAGGAACTTATAGCTGGCGGAGGTCCAAGGTTTAGAGGGGGTAAAGTGGAGGTTAAAGGAGGCGGCATCGCCGCAGAACTGACGGAACAGATAGAGGCCGTGCCCAAGGAGGGCGGAGGTCCAATCGGAGCCGGTGGATTCGGAAAGCCTGGCAGACGAGAGTGGTAAATGTTTGGTGTGACAGATGGATCGGATGTTTGCGGTTGTGCCGTTGGTGGTGGGGCTGGAGCAGACGATTGCTCTTCCTTTCTGGACTGATGATGATTGTTGCCGACCGATCCAACGTTACCGTTCCCACTGTTGCAGCTGTTGTTGTTGTTGTTGTTATTGCTGTTGTTGCTGCTGGCGGCGGTGGTGGTGTTGTTGTTGATGGTGTTGTTATTGCCAGTGCCACCGCTACCGCCTCCACTCGGACGATCCCTGTTCTCCCGTTCACGCTCCCGGTCGCTGTGCATCTGAGCCGCTATGGTCGGCTTCCTAGCTGGAACAAATCCCGAACACAATGCTTGGTAATCTTCCTCTGACCTACTGCTAACGGTACTTATTCGATAGAGGAATTACGAACAAGAACTATATATATATATATATATTATATATATGTATTCTCTATAGTCTGTACTTTGATCTAGGTTCTAAGTTACCTCGCGTCGCAATTCGAGCATTCGGTTACGATACATGCGCGAGGAGAAGCGTTTAGTTAGGTTTCTTGAATCGGTCTATGGCGAGCGTCTCGTACCGCTGCAACCATTTTTTTCGAGCGAAACGACGATCGATCGGGGGTGTGTCGTTCGAGGGCAGTCCCGACGGGATCGTTTGTACGAATCGAACGGTATTCTTACGCAGGCCATTCCGCGTGTCTGAATATTCGGCTTTTTCTCTAAAACAATCGAAACGGAACACCCGCGAAACATCGCAATCATCATTCGTGAGAACGAGAAGAACACGTTCTCGTCTACTTGAAAACTTACCTGAATCGTGTGATAATCCGTATACAATAAGCGTGTCGTTATTGAAAGTCATATTGGATAACGCACGGACCGAGAAACAAATGAATTTTGTCGCTAGCTATCCTCAGGATGCACGGAAAGAACATTCGTGTGAATTATCGCGATACGGCGTACGCGATAAACTAGGGCAGGCTTTACGAGCGTCTACAAGTATCTCCGCTAGAGATCACCGAATCTTCCCCAAAACTGTTTCAGAAAAAGTGAATCGAGGGTCAAGAATTCCAAGTACAATCAGAATTTTGATCACGTTTGTTTGTTTTTTTTTTTTTTTGCAATGTTTATTTTCAATTATAGTCCAAATATACATGTTTACATAATAAATTATATAAAAACGGTATAATTTTGATAAAAGAACATGTTTGACAAAGTTATATACATCGGTGGATTCAGTCAACAAATGGGACGAGAGATACCTTCACTACAATTAAAGAGAAATATAATACGACATTCAGTGTGTTGTAAATTGCAAAATTTCTAAAACAGTTGCGGGAACTAACGCAAGAGTGCACTGGTTCCGATGGGAAATCGATGGCGAGAAACACGTTTCCCGTAATCCGGATCCAAATTTACACGGCTGCTCGCGGCGAGAAATTTCAAACCAAGGGGCGAATAATGCTCGTTCGAAAGCGATACGAAATTTTCTTCATCGACTATAATCATTGTGCCACTAATTAGTACAGACCAAAAAAAAAAAAAAAAAAAGCGAAACAAAGAAGATTATGTGCACCGACTGATTCAGAGAGTCTGACTGACGACCACCGATTATCGCGTTAAACTATTTTCACGTTCGCGGTTAACGTATCGTACATACACGAATACAAAGTTGCGAATTTAATAATAGAAAAGTAAAATCATTTGTCGGTATGTACGCTTAAACGGTTCGCAGAGAGAAAGAGGGACAGAACGGAAAAAAAAAAAACAACGTTTTCACCATGGTAACGACGACGGGACGCCGACCTTCGAACAAGTAATCGTAATTCGATCATTAACAACGAGAAAAATAAGTATTCGTATTTTCTTTTTTCTTCTTCGTTTTCTTCGTACAAGCTGTGTGCACTCTTATGTTGAAGTTTCGCCGGTTAAGGACACGTTAAGAATACTAGCTACAAAAACAAAAAAAACGACTTTTAACTACGTAACGAACATTTTGTTGTCATTGTACATGAATGAGAGGTGTGCGATTCCAACCGGTTACAGAAACGGTGTTTCAGTTGGAACCTCGTTTGTTTCTCTCCTCGGAACGCGACAGAGAAACAAACTGGCGGGCCGACCGAAGGCCGACTTACTCCTTCGACACAGTCGCAGGACACGGCTGTCGATAAGTCTGACTTCGGTCTGAGGGAGGTTAAACAAAATCATTAGCTAAATCGGGCCTCGGACAGGTGAACTGCATTATTGTTTTTATTTGTCCAACTTGTGGTTTCGATCGATCCTAACCTAAAAACCTAGGACAAAACAGGCGCGGTTGTATTCACTTTCCGTTTCACTTTTATTTAATATCTCAGCCTCTCGAACGCAAAAAACCGAGAGATGTCCTCGAGATCGGTTTTCTCGAGGGTCGTTTGCGAACGGACACGGATCGTATGGCCAAAACGGTACCGCGCATCTACAACACATTGTATAACACCGAAAGTTCTCGAAACGAAATCCTAAGGTGGTAACGTTACTCACGCGGAGACTTGATTCGATCGTCGAAATGTGTGCGCTTGGCTAGAAAATATCGGATCCTACCCTTCGTAATAAACCGATTAACTATACATATATATGTGTATATATATATATCAATATATATACGACCACAACTTCGATTATAATCTAAGTTTTAAAATTAGAAGCGTAGTATTGTTCTTTTGTTGTCGATCCCGATTCACAGTCAGGTTATATACTTTTTTTTTTTTTTTACAACGACTTCTCCTCGCCTTGCCCCCGCCGGTCCATCCGTAACCCCACACGGGGATGAACCGTCGAACGCAGTACAGATTATTCGAACGTGGCGCGCCGTTCACCAACGACGACACGTCCTGTCGTTGGTAGAGAGAAAGTGAGTTCGATCGCTTGGCACCGATTTTTGGAACGTGAAAAATCGTGGAACGAGAGACAGGATTGATGATTCTTCCGGGGGAAGGAATCAACGTGGGGGCGAAATCACGTAAGTATTGATAATTGCGGGAGGAAAGAAAGAAAGTAATGTTGATGAAACAAACGAACGAAAGGGGGAAAATAGGAAAGGGGGTGTTGCGTACAAATAGGTAATCGTCAGAACACGTTGAACCAAGACGAGTCGACGACGAAAAGGAACGGAGACGGGGGTGGATAAGGAATATGGATCTAGGAACTAGGGGATGGTCTCGCAAGAAACACAGACGAGTGAGAAGAAAAAAATTTTTCGCGGGTGAGAAGAAGCGTCGGCTTGGCGGGGGTGCACAGAGAAGTGTCCCCGCGGCCGATCGCTCGGAACTCGATGCTCTGTCTTTTTAATGAAAGGCAGTGGGGGGTGGAGCGACTCGCTCACCTGCAGTATCGGCAGATGCAGGTGCAGGCGCGGGTACCGGGGCTGCAGGAGCTGAAGATCGTGCCGCTCTTCTCCTCTCCTCCTCCTCACGGAGCGCGGCTTGTTCCCGTGCTTGCCTTAATCGATGCTCCTCCTCCAGTTTCAGCCTGAAACGAGAACCGTGTCGTCGTTTAGAAAAGGTGGTTAGAGGGAATGAGTGGGAGGATATGGGGATCGACGACGAGTCGCGGAAACGTTTTCTTTTTTTTTTTTTTTTCTATGTCTCTTTACAGAGTCGATCAGTTCCCCTCTTCTTTTCCTTCATCTCCTCTCCACTTACCGTTCGTGCATCGCTGGAGGCATTAATCCGATGGATGCGGGCGGCAGCATGTCCGGACTATATCTTAAACCGTAGAGGGGATACGATGGTAGCCCGGGGAATAACGGCGGTCTCAGCATTCCACACCGTTCCAGATACAACTGTTCCTCTAATCTGCACACCAAAGAACAAAAGCGTCCCGTTAAGCCACGGCGAAACGGACTCACATACACACGCGGAATCATTGGTCCCGGAATTGGTGCGGGTCGCACACCACCGTCCAGAAATATCGGGACAATTGTACGATGATGCGAATATCTGTGTGAAATGATCTAGGTATATACGTGAATATTTTCTCGGACGAAATAAATTTATTGACTTTTGTAACTTCGTATCAACGACCAAATGAGTATATATTGAAATGTTATAGAGGAATGTACGGGATATTTCGTGACATAGTGTACCGGTTGATACGAAATGAAATTACCAACCTATAAGCGTGTTGGAGGTGTGGCGGCGGGTAGAGGCCGTGGTGATAGGGACTGTAAGCCGCAGGATCCAGGGCGAACGCCGGCGGAGCATGGGCCGGATGATGCTCGGGCCGGTACGGCTGGAAACCGGAACGGGCCAGCAATTCGGAAGCTGCGGCGGTCACGCTGTGCTTGCTGGTATCCGCGGGTCTCGCGGTCGTGTACAACGAGGGAATCTCTTCGGGTCTTCTCTCGTGTGTGGACCGTTCCTGGAATTCAAATACACCGACCAAATCGTTACTTCTTCACTGTTCCAACTTCAATCCTCCTATTCGCGAGCCTACAGTAAAAACTGGACTAGTACTCGAAACGATCAACACCACAAGCACCTGGATAGTGTTGCACCTTTAGTGTCCCCCCACCCTTTCCTTTTTGGATATCTTCCCCAACGATTCGTGCGTAGAATCGTACGAGTTAATCGTTTAAATCGGTCGTGGAGAAACATCTAAAGAGGTCACACGAGGGACGAATGATTGCTCACCTTCGCAGGAGAAGGACCTCTGACCAGAGGTGGCGGGGCTCGGTTTTTGGGGCTGGCGCGTGGCTCTTCTTCCTGAGGTGCCGGCCCCGCCTGTTTGGCCAGGTTTCGCAGAGCGGCGGCGAAGCTTCTGCTGGTCTGTTGGCTGCCTGGACCGGGGCCAGGTGTATGACCCTGAGGTAAAACACCGGCGCTGGGCCTGTGAGACTTGCTGATCGTGGTGGGTTGCGCTTTGGTGCTGGCAGGCTGGAGACCTGGAACAAGATCGTAGATCAGTCAGATGGCGTCGTTTATGTGTGTCCTTCCTACCACCTCCACACCAAACAAACACAGAGAATCCCGAATACGGTAAATCCTCGATGAGTGTTCGAGGGGGGCCTCGGCACTTACAAGGAGACGTTGTTTCAGTCGAATATGGCCATTTGTTTATGAAATATTTAATGTTCAATGCTCAAAAACATTCGAACATTCGAGGATTTACTGTACTTAGCGAATTTTTTTTTTTTTTTTTTTAATGTTTCGATCCCTGTTGAATCCCTTCTCACACGTCATCCGCCAAGAAAAATCGTGACAGGAGGATACATGGCAAGCCTTTCCCGCGACATCAAAGGTCACCAGATAGAAAAACCGTTCGCGAGACTTTACATGGAAATATCTGACACGTGACACAACACACGGTGCACGTAATTATACCGTTCGCCAGACGGCAGAGGCGGAATTGAATATGCAACAACGTTGCAAAGTGGTAAATCCTCGCATTAATCAGCTGTTAACCGACGCTCGAATGGAAATCAATGTTTCGCGTCTTTTCTACTTTACGGATTAATTGATATTCGAGAGCCTACGCTAATCGGACGGTGTTACCGGAAAGTTTACATCGATTTATACGCTTCTAGACAGCATGCCTCTACGGCATCATCGTTGCTCGATGAAACTTGTCTAATAACACTCGTACTTTGTCATGAATTTTCGAGGACAGGTATCAGTACGGCTGAGAGACGATAATTAACGGCGTTCGGCTCAACGACTAACCGTTAAACTATGTACAGAGCTTTACAATCAGTTCACACGATACAGTTTTTTGACCGAATCGGTAATAATCAAATGCAGCATTCCCACGTACAAACAAAGAAAATAAGTATACACACGAGTAGACTGCCGATTTTTAATAATAATTTTTAAAGGCAGGAGCAATCGTAGAAATTTATTTTCCCTCTTAACTATCTTATTGGATTCAAGATAAAATAGAAAACTCGTCGAATCTGATGAAAGTTTTGTTTTTTATTGTATTTCACAAAGCCCTATAGGCTACAAATGCATAAAATCCGGGGTCTACGATTTGGTTAAATTACCGAATCGTTGAAAAAAGAAAACCGTAACGTCTGTGACGATTCTATAACCACGATGGTCAAACTGTTCTCGCGACCATTATTATTCAACATGTAACACGACGACGCTCCGATTATCTCGGCCCGTTTGGTACGCGCCAGATAAAACGCGCGCGGCGAGGTCTTTTCCCCATTAAAAATCGAATCGATTCTTGGGCTGAATATATCCGTCGACCTCTTTGATCTCGGTTTTTCTGAAAGAGAATGCATAATTGGTCGACCCGATGACGATAACCGCAAGGGGAAAAGCATTAGTCCCGGGGGACGATAATAGCGTATCGTTCGAGCGCGGCCGACAGGCATTAATTATTTTCTACGATCGCGATGGAATATAAATTGCCAGTTTTTAATCCTGACACGGACCGTCCGTCCGCCCGCGAACGGAATAACCCGACGATACGCGGCAATAAAAGAAGAGGAAAAAAAAAAAAATACATTCTGCGGACGATCCGGGTAATTACAAATTGCTCGCGACGATATTTTCATACGCGACAGTCCAGAGATGGGCAAACTCACTATCTAGGTAAAAAGTTTCGAATAACGAATGAAAGATAAAAAAAAATATATTTCTAGATTATAAGGTAATTGTTTTATTTAAAAGGTAATTGTTTTATTATAAAATCGTCTCTTCACAAAAACTGATATGCCGTGATCACTGTAACTTCGTAACGGTTAATTTGAAATTAAAAATTCAGTAAGATTCATGTAATGGAAGAAATATTGATCGCCGATTTGAAAAATGTAGTTTCGAGAAAAACGCGTTTAAAGTTTCAAGTCAAGCTTACACTTATATAAAATGTTCATTTTCTAACGCCTGTAACTCTGTCATTTTTAATCGGACTGCCTACAGACTATTCTCGAGATGTACTTAAAGAAAATGTAAAAAGTGAAAAATCGATTTTTTGAAAATTTCTGACTGAGCATGACCCGTTAAAACGAGAAAATAACTGACGAAGAGGGGTACAGATAGAGAAAAGAGAGAATACCACCACGATGGCTCGCTGCGCTCGGTGATTCCGGAGGAGGATGGTTTTCACCCTCCATTCAATTCCTCGTCAGCAGAGCGCGCGCACACACCTTTGCTTCCTCTCTTTCCGTCTCTCTCTCTCTCTAGGCTAACATGCGATTACCCCCCTCCAGTGTAACGTCTATGCCCCCCCCCTACACCCCTGCCCTCCCACAGAGTCGTATCTTCACCCATCACCATTTTTCCCTCTGAAAACGCTCGAGGTTCGGAACCCGATTTCTTTTCATCCGTGTTCCCTCGGTTCTCTGCCCTGTTCCATTCTCCACCGCCGCCCCATGGTCGTCGTCTTAATAACCTTTCTTTTTATCCTTCGCTCCTCTCCAGTCTCCCCAACCGTCTCTCCCTCTCTCCAACCCCTCGTCAATCCGCTGGGAGGAACAAATAATCGCTGGAGGAACAGAGTCGAGATATTATTACGAGAGAAATCGATCTCGAAATAAATCCTGGCCGTCAGAGAAATCGTATCTTATCGTATTACTAGGCCTCTGTAATAGTGCAGTAAATCATCGATGAGCGTTCGAAGGCTACTCGGCACCGAGTGTTCAATATCAATTCCAAGCTCTATCACTCCGCGAAACCCCATTACAAAGTCGACGTTACACCTAGGGTCCTTTTCTTGTAGGTATCGAGAAGTTTTCGAGCACTCATCGAGAATTTACTGTACTTCCTGAAAAGACCGCGTTTCTGCTCGAGTATATCCGTCTCCCGTTACCGTCGATACCATAAATGCATCTCCTTTCATAGGGAAAACCGCGATTCTCAACGACGAAGAAGGAACGATCGAGTTCGATCCCCTTGTTACGAGAGGAGAGGCGGTAAAAACGTGCGTCGGACGTTGCTCGTAGGACGCGAACGAGATGGTGGCGAGAGGAGGGTAGGTGACATTCGCTAACGGGAACGATGGGGGGGGGGGTGGTTGGGTTGACTCGACGTCGGAAGCACAAGGATTCCAGCGAGCGGAAAGGGTGTAGGGGGTGGTGTTAAGCGGCTTACAGTCTGTTACCATGGTAACGCCACACCACTAAGACAGGAAGAGCCTGAATCCAGACCGCCCGCCACAGTCCCCGGTGTGACCCTCCGTGTATACCGTGTGTACAGCCTCCTCCTCATCCACCCCTCGTTCCTCTCATCGCCCTGTGTATTGACGCTCTCCTGCATCCCGTGGAAGAACGAAGGGAGAAGCACCAGCGCGATACGACGACCACGGGGGGTAAAGAGGGAAGGATTACGCCGCTAACTCTGTTTTTCCTCACCAAACTGTTTTCACCACGCTCTAACGACATACACACCACCGAAAGTATGGGGACCAGGTGTGAGAATTACAGAGAGCGAAAAATATTATTCTACGAAGATTTTCGGTGAAAATAATGCGTTAAAGCTAATTGGAAATGATTCATATACTATAAACAGGGAGAAATGCTTCGGACCCTTATAAATTCATCTTTACGCGAAAGCATATCCCCAGGGGTCGGGATAACGGCTTAACAATAATCGTGTAGGACAAGCCAAAGAGTCTGTAGAAGACAATCATGTTCGAGGAGACTTTTTATTACATCGAAGCGAACAGGTAACACGACGACACATGTGTTCATCTTTCTCGAACAGACGGACAAACAACAGGTGGAAACTTTGTCGTTTATATCGCAGGGAAGAAAGCGAAACGAGACGTCGAGACGCATTAAGCCACCCGAGGAGATACGTACGCGGTGTTTCACGATCCCTTGCAACAACCAGCACATTCTAACGGACAGCAGACGCGGCACAACGGAGAGATCGTGCTCTTTTTTTTTTTCAACCCCTCCTGTCGCGAATCACGTCCTCGCACACAGAGAGAGACCCTTATCGATTTTTCGTGTCGCGATAAACGAGCACCCTTTCGACGCGTATATAAATCCCGACGAGAGCAGAGGACCACACCGGGAGCAAGTAAGGGGAATGTCGCGATGTCACGTAGTTCGAACCGCTCGAATAATTCCTGCATCGCCCCCAGTGCTCCCCCTTGAATTCTAAAAAAATATATATATATATATATAGGGTGTAACGAAAGTGTTGTAGGTTCTCGACGTGGATCACTCGTTAGGTGATTTGGAACTAGTTTTTCCTTAGCAAAAATTTCGTCCGAGGCTTCGTTAACGAGATATTAACGAAAAATTCTGACCAATCAGAGCGATTCGGTTGGCCGAGCTTCCGCGGTATGTTCGTCACGCGCTGCTATTGGTAGCCAACGCCAGCGCGGAAGCTCGGCCGACCGACTCGCGTTCTGATTGGTCGGGGTTTTTCGTTAATATCTCGTTAACGAGCCGACTCCCCGTGATCCAAGGAAGACTAATCATCCCTGACGATGCTACTGAAGAAATTCGTGCGCAGGTTTTCTCGTTTCTCATTTTCTCAATCCCTCACCACCGGGTCGATATTTTTCTCCTAGTTGAACATTTCCATCGAGCTGCTACGAATGTTCTCCCTCCACTCTGGTCGAAGACGAGTGGCAAAACTTTCGAGTATCTCTGGGATCCGTTCTCCACCGAGGCTGAATGAAATTGTTCGAAATTCCGCGCCTGGGGGAAGGTCTCGGTTATACTCTGTGTGCAGTGCACGGATGGTGTCTGCCTCCGAGATCCATTAAACGTTAAACGGGAATCGTGGGGCTCGAATGGAAAAGAAATAAGACGAGGGGAACACGAAGGAAATGAAGAAGTCGGGTAGTAGCGGCGAAAATATTCCGGGACTCGACGAAAGGGGCGGGATTGCGCGCAGCCAGAGGGGGAATACAGGTGTGCTCGGTTTCCACCGTTGGATTCTCGAGTCGTCGTGAAATCTTGTGCAATATCCACGCATTACA